TGTCAAGGTAACTTTTCGCAAAAAGCTACTAAAATGGTGCCTAATAAATTAAATCTCGGATCTGGCATCGGTTATTTGGAAGAAGACATTTTGATTTTCATTTTCACGTGTATAGTTGTAAAGGACACAGAAATGAAGGGGTTTCTTAATTATGTAGTAAATATATGACGAAAATAACAATTATATTTTAGTTTTCATACAGCTTTAGTTTTACAGCAAAAAGGAAACATTTAAGTGAATCTGGTGATGACGTTGTTGCTGTGTATCTGTGTAGTTTTCAGCGAAAACTGGTTTTCGTTTGACAGATTTTACATGGACGAAAACACAAGTTTTTGGTCGAAAACCAGTTTTAGCAACGAAAACATGTTTCCGATGTCGGCCAGAACATGGTATAAGTGACAAAAACAAGAACAACGTGAATCAGCTGTTTCTCGACTTGTGGGCACGAAATGTGGTTTTTGCGTTCCCGTACTTCTAGACTTTGTTCTATTTTTGAAAGAAAATGTTTCTCTAATTCTCTAATTACCAAATCCGGTCCGTATTGTTAGGGAAAGAACCTAGTGTTGATATTATCAGTGAACTGTAATTTTCAATTTTCTTTCCTCAACCTTTAAGACATTGTGATTTAAATAATATCAACAAAATATCTGTGAAAAACCGAAACCGGAACGAAACCGAAACCAAAACCGAAATAAATTTTGAAGAACGAAACCAAAACCGAAACCGAAACTCTTGGCAAAACCGAAACCCAAACCGGAACGTTATTTTGAATCGGTTTCATTCCTTGTTAAAAAATATACACATGCCTATGCGGCTTATAGAAGCGCAGGGACCTCTTGCCAAATTGGTGTTGGAAAAATTCAAAGCCGTTTTCTCAGCTAACGTATGCTTGGAGACAATAAGGGGTGTGGATAAAATTGTAAAGGGCGAGGAAAACGCCCTTATTCCTGATAATATGAACGTTTCAAACGTTCCATATTTAAATTGGGCTCCACTTGTATCAAATTACGTCGAGCGCACATTTAGTACATTCAAGGTTTTTCTTCGCGAAAATCGAATGAAAATGCTGCCAGAAAACTTCAAAATGCATCTTGTGGTTCAACAACTATACAGATTAAAGTTTTATGAGTTAGAAACTCGAAAGGATAAAATAGTCCAAGATTCAAAGTAAAAATTTTTCATATAATGAAACTACACCATTTCCAGTTGGATTTTGGAAGGCGTCAATTGGATTTTAGAATAGTCAATTGTATTTTAGAAAGCGTAAATTGGATTTTAGAATAGTCAACTGGATTTTAGAAAGGGCCATATGGATTTTAGAATAGTCAACTGGACTTTAGAAACGATCAATTGGATTTTAGAATAGTCAACTGGATTTTAGAAACAGTCAATTGGATTTGAGAAAAGTCAGTTGGATTTGAGAAAGTGTAAATTGGATTTTAGAAAGCGTTAATTGGATTTTTTAATGATTCATACACTATGCTATGCATATGATTATGTAGTTTCAAATATTGCTGAAGTATCAGGTTATAACTACTTTTTATTAAGTTTTAACAATATAATATATATTAAAGTTAAACAACAGGTTACATTTAGGAATATACGATCTCTATGAAGTACAAAAGAAAGCGGATAATGAAGACGTGAGCGGAATATTAAAATTATGTAGAATAATGTATATAAAAAGAAAATAGGTGCACAGGAGTGAAATGTAATGTAATAGTAAATAAGTAATGTAAATTGGAAGAGCAAGACAATAGTATATGTAACAAAATTCCATGTTTTACATACTTGGAAGAAATAAAATGCCATTTAAAAGAATTTTATTCACCAACTCTCATATCTCGTTTGGCAATTGCATCCGCATAGAAAGTAGTACTGTTTGCTTAAAAGTGAATATTTTAGAAAAATTTGCATTGACAAATACCGCACATAAGAAAAAACTGGCTACTTCAAAATTTTTGTAGAAAATTCTAAAATTCACTTTACATTTTCTAAAATCCAATTTACGTTTTCTAAAATCCAATTATCGTTTTCTTAGATCCAGTTAACTATTCTAAAATCCAATTTACGCTTTCTAAAATCCAGTTGAGTATTCTAAAAACCAATTTACGCTTTCTGAAATCCAGTTGACTATTCTAAAATCCAATTGACTCTTTCTAACATCCAATTGACTCTTTCTAAAATCCAACTGGAAATGGTGTAGTTCATAGCCTTTCTCTGTTTACTTGTAATATAAACATTTCTAAAATAAAAGTATTTTTCTTCGTATTTTCTGTCGTTTTTAGTGCCTTATTTTGCTTTTTTTTTGCAATATCTAATGCCTTTTCCTGCCTTTTTCGCTATTTTGTTTTGCCTTTTTTGCGTTACCTAGTGCCTTTTCCTGCCTTTTTCGCTATTTTATTTTGCCTTTTCCAGCCTATTTCGTTATTTTATTTTGCCTTTTTGATAGGTTTTTAGGTCCTAAAAGTCCGTTCCCTGGTTATTAGCAACAAGCGAGCCTTTAGCGAGAGTTTTTCTTGCATTTTATTCGCATCCGGAATCATTTGTGGCTATTTGATCAGCAATATGAACGGAAAACAGCAAACAAATCAAAAAATAACAAATTTCGTAGAAAATGCTGTAGAAGTTTTAAAAAACAGCAGGTCCACGCGCTAAACTTTGTTGACGATTTTCGCTACTTCGGCTTGTGGAAATCGTCAGATTATATACTATCCGTTATCCTTGAGCTGTTTGCTACATAATAAAAAGATTTAACCGCGCTCGATAATGTCAAGGTAACGTTTTTTTTGCAAGTTTGCGACCCTACCAATCCCCTGCGTCCCGCTCAAATCGTCGGATTATTGAAATGCAAATTTTCAGTATGTTATTAACCCACCATTCCACCCAATCTGAGGCGCTCGAGTAAATCCATCTATACATTTTTTATTTATTTTTCTGATGGCTTAGATTCAACAGGCTGCAGGGTATCCCCTATATGTTAATCTGACGCACTCGAGTAAATCCCCAAATCCCCTCTTGGGTCCCCTACTATTAATATCACACAAGAACTTGCTTTCGATATGGAGAACAAATTTCTGACTGAAAAGTTAACTTTGAGCTGTTGTGCGCGGCAACTGGTAGTTAGGAACCCAATGTTTATACACGAGATTTGGTCCTTGCCTCTGCTGATATATATTTTTTATCTTAAATAAATGCCAACTCTCGAAAAATGAGTTTTGAGCATCGCTTTCTTTGAGTCGGCCCCATTGTGCAACGTCGCAAAAGGGAACACAAAAATGAATTTACTTTTAATAAGTTACGAGTACTTTTGTATGTGCGAGCGCTAATTACAAAGAACTACACCGAGAAAATAAGAAGGTTAGTTTCGACAACTAAATATATGTAGTTAGTTTCTAAATTCTGACAATACTTGGGGAACTTGCTTTTTCTTTCTGGCTCCTGCGCATATCCTCAAGTTACGTCACCTGTTACGACGAGATTAAACTGTCTGGGCATGGCTTGCTTTTATTTTTAATAATAATAATAATAGATTGGTGCTTACACATATGTTAGTGTTTGGCCGAGCTTCCCATCCGATTTGTGGCGTGCGCCTTGATGTTGTCACACAAAGAGGAGGGACCCACAGTTTTACGCCGACGCCGAACGGCGATTGTATTTTAATGAGAAGCTGTTTTCAAGGCAGAAATACACTCGGAGGTTTGCAATTGCCTGCCGAGGGGCGACCGCTGTTAAGAAAAACCCTTTTTTCTAATTTTTTTTGCGATGTTGCTTTGTCCCGGGCTTGAACCCAGGACCTGCGGAGTGGAAGCGCACACTGCTTACCACTACACCAAAGCGGGCGCCAATTTTATTTTTACAAGCTTTTATTTAACTTGTTCTGTGTGTATGTATGCATGCTGTGTTTGTTAGGGGCAAATATTGCAATCAATTTTTGACCAACTTCCCGATGAGCTAGAGGCTTGAAACTTCACAGTTGGGTCAGAACCCGATGAACATGCAATACGAAAGATGAGTTAAGCCGATAGGTGACGCAGTTAGTTGGAAACTTGCTTTAAAAATATTTGTTTTTACAACTAACTTATTGCATCGTTTGAGCAATTTTTAAATGATGGGGCATCCACTGCGCACATAGCTTTCTACCGGCCAAATGTTCATGTGATATCGTATGTATGGTACACTGAGAAAAGAGTTTAGTTAAGTCAACTAAATAAATATGTTTTTCTCAACTCATGATTTGGTTATAGCTACAATATTATTTGGTTATAGTTATCAAATCATGTGTTGAAGGAGCGTGAATGCCACATAACGATCTCCCATTATTGTCCTGCGCACAGCGTTGATGTTTTCTGGCATACAAACTGATATTGGACGACCTTTTCGATGTACATCAGCGAGACGACCACGCTTGAGTGCATTTTACCAATTACAAGCATTGGCCTTGATGGTGTTTTATGACCAAAAATATCGAAAGTTGTAAACAATTGAGGGATTCACAAAGGTGCCGTAAGTGTCGTATTGTTGTATGTCGTAAGCTTTAAAAGCTTAAATAAATGCTTAGAGAACTTGAAACGACAACCAACTATTATTTAACGCTGCAAAAATTCATAAAATGACTTGATGGTACTTTACCAACCCCTTTAATATAGTTTTCAGGCGTTTAAAATTTACGACACACAACAATACGACACTTACGACAACGTTGTGAATACCCCAAATCAGCCAACGAAAAGGTTTTTTTTTTAAATATTAATTCTACTTTGAGCCTTGAAGTAACCAAACAAAACAAAGAGCGCCAGTACTGCAAAAAGTCTGAGCACGTTAATGTTAAAAGATTTTTAATTTTAGGATTCAAAGTTCACATCGACACAAGTGGCATTCGTGTTGGGGATTCTAAAGGATTTTTAGTGACCCTCTTACAAGTTGTTCTTATTTCATGTCAATTGTGATTGTAAATTCTAAACTGCATTTTTTAACGTTCTTCTCGTTTAAATCTCTAGCTTTTGATCCAACAAATGTCGCAATGATAGATGACAAAATAAAGTTCAAGTGTATGCCGTTTTTGCCAAAGTTTAAAGCCATTTGTCAATACATCGAGTATTGTGATGAGAGTTTGCAAACATCGTCTGCCAACAACAATAGCAGCAGTAATTCAATTAATGTTACTGCTCTCCCGAATTCAAGTCTTCTGGATAACACGGATCCAAAAATTAACGAAGCCAGTGCCAAGGCTATAACAATGGCAAAGCAAATAATTTATGAAGCTGCACAGCAAGAGGAACAATTACAAAAGGAACAACACCAAAAACAACAACAACAAGACCAATTGAAAACTCAACCGTCACAGACTGAGCATCAGCCACAGCAAAAACATCCACTCTCGGACCAAAACGATAAACATCAGAACACAAATGCTTATAATACTAATACTATCACTGGGAACGACAACTCAAATGCCGTCGCCACAAATATATTTGCTTGGCATAAATTGCTAGCACCTCCGCCGAAACAAATGGTGGTCATTGATCGTATGCATTCAGGCGCTCGTCGTTTTGTGGTTTTGGACTTCGGTTCGCCTATATTGCTATCGGATTTGGTTATACCCGCTTGCGATGAGCTAGCCTCACTTCACATAGATATATGGTGCTTTGATGAGGAGGCCGATAGTGTACGCCTGGTAGTCGCATCTGACATCAGTACTAAAACTTTAGTCCTTAGCGATCTTCAACCGCCTCCAATTTGTCGCTATATGAAAATTACTATAATAGGACGCATCGGTATGTCGGCTACAAAATGCAAAATTCCAATTGGTTCGTTTTACGGACATGCCGTGGTATTGGAACAGGATGGTTATGGTGATTCCCTGCTGCGTTTTATGAAACAACCACCACAAAATATACAAGCGCAGATTAAGGCGCTTATGTCACTGTATGAAGATGTACATTGTCGATATAGTTTAGCTAGTTGTAAGCTAATAGAGTTGCTCACACCAATTTTAAATTGCGAAATGTCAAACGTTGCACATATGCAAGCGTTCATACACAAACAACGGGAAGAGGATGCGAATACAGTGGATAACAGTAAAGTTGTAACTATTTATGAGGTGATTTAAATTTTTTTTGTTTTAAAAGCTTCGTTGGTAAAAATTTGTAAATTTTAGGAATGCATTTTATTGCAACATCAAATTAATGTTATACGCAATGTGATTGGTCGTTTGGAGAATTCTTTGCTACCCCTAAATTTAAATTATGCCTCTACAGCAGGTCCTGCAGGTTCATTTGGGGATGCTAGTCTAAAAAATGTGTTGCAACTTGCATCACGTGACAAATTGCGAGTTTTGGGTCAAAGTTTAGTGGAAATTTTATTGCATTTCTCCATAGAGTATGGCATAAAGGTACTTAAATTTTCCGTCACTATATAATAGCAAAGTCCATTAAAAGATGTACGCATTCTCTGTTGTTTTGCTCCCTTTAAAGAATATTCTACCTGTTCATCAACTATTTACAATGGATGTGGCAAACATGCTTTTCAATTCATTGGTCGTTTACGGCGATGCGCACATCCAATTAGCGACTTGTTCCCTACTAGTGCGTATGTGCTGTTTCCAAAGTTGGTGGGGTGACTTTTTGGCCGACATCTTCTGCAACTTGTTCTCGTCTCAGAACAGCAAAGTATTTCCACAAGACCGGTAAAAGCATCTTCATACATATATACTATTTAATTAAATTTTCTAACATGTTTATTTTCTTGTGTGCAGCATATTTTTCTTATTAACATATTTGGGCAGACGCAGTATTGCGATGGGAACCTGTCGCTCGATTGTTATCGACGCTGTGCTAAAAACCTTGGCCAAACTATTGGCACCGATTTCACCCCGTTACCAAGAAAGACAGGCAGCAGGATCACGAATGGAAGAATCTGATGGTGGTGGTGATGCCGGCTCAGGTGGCTTATGGGCCAAATCAGATCTGCAGTTAATCACATGGCTGTTGCTATTTTTATCAGTGTGCTTAGATGACAGTAATGAGCGGAAAGACAAATGTAAGTGTGAATAGTACGTTTAAATTGACACCATTTAACAAGTAAATTCAGAGTTTAATGCTTGACAACAAAAAAGTTTGTTTACATACATACGATATGTTTAATAATATAGAGATGTAGCTCAAAATTTACGTTTTTGGAGATTTCATAATACAATTAATTAATACTTGATGATGAGAATATGTTCAGCGTAACAGATGACTACACTTCCCACATTCCCACGACAGCCGGTTCTACGTACCGGAATGACTCGGGTTTTACCCGACCAAGGGCTTTTGTTTCGACGATCTAACCCCGTTTAGGTCGGCGAAGTATCTCAGAAGTTGTTCGTCCATAGGGCTACATTCGCTACGTTTTCTTCTACTCAGGGCTGGCATCGAGTCAAACCCAGGGCCAGAAACCTACACCTGCTGTGTATGCCAGAGACGACTGCACCACAACTCCACCTCAGTCAATTGCAATGCTTGCGAGGGGTGGAGTCACCTCAGAGTCTGCTCAGGACTACGGACACATCGGCAGTGGACCACGTTTTTTGTGGCCCCTGCTGCTCAAACAGAGCAGCCTCCACGGCTAACAAACACCACAGCACAACAACATAACACAATAGACCACACCCCAACTGCTACAGACCACAGAACACACACAACCGCACCACCACCCACACGTCGCCGCCAACAACTCCTGGTTCCTCCTACAATCTGCACGGTATGTCAGACCAGGATATTCCGTAATGTGACATCAGTCAAGTGCAACACCTGCCTTGGGTGGTACCACTTTAGGGCATGCACAGGTCTGCGCACCACGCGAGATTGGACGAGGAACTTCGAGGGCCCGTGTTGCGCTGCTCGGTCGTAGACCTCAACTGCGACGCCTCCCGCCTCCACCATAGGGCGGCAACCACCTCAGCAGCGCACACAGCCAACTGCGGCACGACCACACACATACCTCACACCCCGCATCACCACACGTCTCCCGAACCACATGAAGCTCCTTCAATTTAACTGTAACGGGCTTCAGAGCAAGACCGAGGAGATAATCGTCTTCATGGGAAGGCATGTCATATTGATAGCTGCGGTCCAAGAGACGAAGTTGCACAGCAATTCAACACTGTTGAATTGTGCCGGGTACAACGTGCACCGTCGAGAACGCGAGCGGGATAATGGTGGTGGCTTAGCGTTCATCACGCACCACACCGTGCAGTATCGTCTTATCGAAGCAGACATCGACCGCAGGGATACCACCCTAGAATGTCAGGGCATTGCTATCCGGTCAGGCGATGTTGAGCTCGAAATATTTAACGTTTATATACCCCCAGGTGACAGCTGCCCGGCAGGATATCACCCTGACATAGGTGCGCTCCTCAGAGGTGAAAACCGTATGGTAGTAGACGACTTTAATGCGCACCACGATCTTTGGCACTCAAGCCTGTCAAACGATCGTAGGGGAACTGACTTGGCTGAGCAGATAGACGGTTCGACATTCTGCACAATGAACGACGACGTACCCACCAGGATTATGGACAGGTGCTGCCAGACCATCTGCCCATAGTCATCTCGATCGATAAACCAACCGACTTTGCTTCCACGGAGCACCGAACATATATCAACTTTTCTAAAGCTTATTGGAAAGGTTTCGCGGAATTTACTGAAATACCTTCGCTGCTCTCCCCACACCAACCGACATCCACACATTCACAAACCACTTGACCCCAGCGAAGCATCAGCATGGTTTCCGTAAAGTGCACAGTACAACAACAGCACTTAACGCCATAAACACTCAGATTATTCGTGGCCTTAACCGTGAACGTCCCTGTGAGAAAACGATTCTAGTAGCGTTGGACCTGTCAAAGGCTTTTGACACTGTCAGTCATTCCACGCTACTAGAAGATATAGAGGCTTCCTCTCTCCCACAGGCTCAAACGGTGGTCGGCAAATTATCTGAGTGGTCGACACTCGTCGGTAATGTTTAGAGACAAATCGAGCAAACTTAGAAAAATAAAACAGGGGGTTCCACAGGGTGGTGTCCTTTCCCCGCTACTGTTTAACTTTTACATTTCAAAGCTCCCTCAACCACCAGAGGGAGTCTCGAATGTCTCTTACGCCGACGATTGCTCGATCATGGCGACTGGGAATGGAATTGATGACCTGTGTTCGAAAGTAAACGGGTATGTCTCCGAACTTTCTCGCTTCTTCACTGCAAAGTGTCTAGCTCTCTCCCCTACGAAATCCTCTGCGACCCCGTTCACAACCTGGACGAAGGAGGTCAGGCTACCGCTGGGAATTCACGTCGGTGACACACCAATTCCGACGGTGAATAGTCCCAAAATACTCGGAGTAACATTCGACAGCCTGCTCTCCTTCTCTGCGCACGCAACCGCTATTGTCAATAAAGTTCAGAGCCGCAACAAGGTCCTCAAGTCGCTAGCCGGCAGTACTTGGGGCAAAGACAAAGAAACGTTGCTGGCAACATACAAGGCAATACGCAGCACCAGTGTAGTCGCCGGGGACTAGTAGTACGCAGTGGATGAAGCTACAGACAGTACAAAACACAGCACTTAGTACAGCGACCGGATGCCTCCTGATGTCACCAGAACACCACCTCCACGATGAGGCGAAAATGCTCCCAATTAGGGAGCACAACACGATGCTCTGCAAGCAGTTTCTGGTTGGGAGCCACAGATGTGGCCACCCAAATAGACAGCTGCTTGCTGAGGAGCCCTCGCCAAGGCACGTCAGAAGGCATCTATATGAACTGACGGACGTAGTCCAGAGGTTCATTAAGCAGCCTCTGGACCCGTCAGCTTACAGACAGGCCCTGAACGGCATTCACAGGGACGCAGTCTCGAGTTATGTAGACTCTAGACCTGTGAATGCCATTCTAGGCACACAAAGACCGGACATTGACGCGACAGAGCTCCATCTGCCTCGGGAGACCAGAACAACAATAGCCCAACTTCGCTCTGGCAACTGCAGCAGGTTAAACTCCTACTTGAGTAGGCTAAATGCGGATGTGCCGAATGAATGTCCGGCATGCGGAGAGACCCCTCACGACTCGAAACATCTCTTCGCATGCCCGGAAAACCCCACACGCTGCACGCTTCTTGGGGCTGCCGTTAGTGGAACTCCACGACAATGACTGAGATATCAACCGATCTGGGCGGGGTTGTTGTAGCCGCTACAACAACAACTAAACTTCACAAAAATGGCGAAGATATGTGTCTTTTCATCTGTCTTTTGGGATACCAACTGTATGAATTGATCAAACTTCGATTGCGTTTTACCAAAAATTTTGAAATAATTCGGCGTTTTCACATTAGGTTTTTTTTTACATTTTGGGCTAGCTAAATATACATATCGCACATTTACTTCAATAATGTAATAACTCAAAAGAGGGCAAAACTCGAGTTAAACGGATTAAAAATTTTGAATTTACATATCGATGGTCCTTTGCTTTACGACACAATTCAAAATTCAAGAAATAAAAAATAAAATATTGTTAACTGGCTCATGTCCCTAATCCTTGCCGAATCAATGTCTAATCTTTAGATTTGTTCCACACGATCCAGCGGGTGCCCAAAACAGCCCAGAAAGCGTTCCTCACGCTAAAAATATGGGTAATAGAGAGCGTATACCTTCCACTTTTGGATCGTAAATGTCTTCTTCTTCGTGCCCGAAACTGCCCGGATTTTTCCCGGGCAGAAATGTGCAAGAAGTCAATTTGAAATAACAGCTATTTGTTTACGTCCGAAAGCAAATTTTGTAATATCCAAAAAGGGAAAAGCACTCAAGTTTCAGAAATGTAGGTATTTGCTAACTTTATTAGCCATATAAGATAAATACACATAAAATCATTGTTTAGAGCTGATTTGTTGATTCCGGGCACGAAATGTGGTTTTTTGCGTTCCTCACGCACTGGGCAATTTTTCCACGTGTTGGCTCATTTTTGACACTTGTGAGAGAGTGACTTATTTTTACGCACTAATTACCGACACAGTCCGGAAAGCGTGTGGCACAAACCTTTTTTTTAGCACTTCTTACTGCTTACTTTAGTAAGGGATGGAAATGGATTAGACAAGGATTAGAGACACGGTAATTTCCGCATACTTAACCCAACTTTTGTATTTTTGGATCATATTTAACACTATTGAAGTAAATAAGCGATGTACATATGTATTTATTAGTTAAAATATGAATTATTATCATTTTTTCTCTCGGGATAGTGAGGAATAAAAATTACTCTCTCAAAGTAGCTGTCAACACCTCGAGAACCAACAAAAGAAACACGGGCGCCTATTTCAAATGAAATGAAGCCTTTGTCAAATTGAATGAGAGCTATTTCAAATTAAGTGAAACCTTCTTCAGGTTGAATGAAACTATTTTGAAATCAGAATAAACATTTTTCAAATTAAATGTAACAAAGGATTTTAGAGTCTATAGTAGAAAACGAAAACCTGTTTTGCAGCTAATGTTAACATTTATTACATTTTAACAATAATGATAAAGTTGCTTGTCAATCGAGCTGAGAACAACCGGGTTTGACGTCGTAGTATACTGATAATGAGAGAGAGTCAAGAAGAGAGAGATGAAGAAGCGAACATGTAGTGCGAAATAGTGATGTAAAAATTGGTAGAATTGTACTTACTCTTCAGTCTTTTAAATTAGAACGTACATTCTGTACAAGCAAACAAAGAACGCCCTATCTCAGAATTCTGTTCAAAAACTGGCTAATTAACCATTGAACTATGTACCTGTCTGTGCATTTTATAAATGGTTTAAGTAGTTAGTTAGTTCTTATACGAACAAGTCTTCCCATTTAACTAGTTACCCACTCGTAACAAATTAGTTAACCCCTGTTAATTGGGTAGTCGTTTATCCCATTTAAGAAGTTAATTTAAAAATTAATTGTTAATTTGAAAATTGTATTACGTCCTATTATGAATTCATACGATGCGCGATAAGCGCTTGCATTCTGTTGTTCCATATTAAGAATCGATGTTTATCATATGAAATCTGATAGCGCAGCTGATTTGTGTTGGTTCAAAGTGAATAAAAACCACAGCCATTCACAACAATACATCTGTCGAGCGTATGAAAACCATAATACGAAAACTGATTTCATACGATACGCTTGCTAGCGTGTGTCGTATATCGTATGGAAATTCATAATAGGGGGGTTATTCGAAAAAAAGTTTTTATCTATTCGATAATCGCTTTAGCTTCGAGCCGATGGGATTTCATGAGTTGTGAAACAGATTTCACAAAAACTCGCACACAAACATCAAATACATCTGGAAAACAATTGCGCTGCTTTAAGAAACGTATCGTGCAACAGAATAAATATAGTGTTCAGCCGTATACCGACTGGGGCAAAAAGATCTTTATGATACAAAATGAGGTAATATATACATATCTATATTTCTTCGTTTAAAGTACAAAACTGCGTATCAACAAAATGCAAAACCGCGTATGTGAGGTTGCATAAATTATTTTCTAGAGAGTAAAATCACTCATATTTCAAAATGGTTCTTTTTTATAAAGCAATCGGATTTCTGGCTAGTATATTTCCGGACGAATGGATTGAGCTAAGAGCTTGTGTGAGCAAATCCAATTTTTGGCAGCAAATGTCAGTTACGCGGTTTTGTAGAATGACGCGGTTTTGCACTTTAAACGACGATTTGTTTAATGTATGCCATATATAGAACGTACATAAAATATTTCGCGGCTTTACTCCACAGCATCCTGGCATCTTTATGGAAATGACTGGCAAGCCGAAACCCAGCAAAACCAGTAAGACAAATATAACGCCAAAGGCAACCAAGGAAAGCAATCAAGAGCCTGAAAACAATTTTGACAAAGGCCTAAAAACAATACGTTTAAATAACATTTTAATTGTGATTCGCGGTCTAATCGCATTGCTGTTGGAAATGGATTTTACGTGCAACATGGATCAATCCCTCTTAACGTGTAAAGTACGTATGAAATCAAAAAAATACGTCCATCATTCTGTACTCGTATCTGTTTTTCTGTTGCAATAGGTCATAGCACGTCTTGTGTCCGCGTGTCGTCCTGCTGTTCAGCTCTCGAAAATCATTACAACAGCGCAGCTAGAGCAACTTATTCGCCTCGCGGTTTGGAATGACCAACAACAACCATGGGCCGTTCATGCGATTACCTGTTTACTACAGGTGTGTAATTAAAAGAAAAATCTTACTCATAGATCGTATTAACAATTTACTTTTAACAATAGGACCTACTTGACGCCGATAAGCACTTTAAAGATAATGACACTGTGCCTACTACTACGGAAGGCGTACGACCGATGGAGGGTATACAAGAAACAAAGGATTTATTTTCGGATTACTGTAAACCTTTTCTATTTGAACGTGTAAATTTTTATAATCAATTTTTTTAACATATTTTCCAGCACATTATATATCACAGGCCATGAATTCACAGCTGCAAGCGGCTGCAAACGATATGCAATATCCTGATGGTAGGATTTTATTATTACTAAAAAAATTGGCAACGTCATTATATATATGTTTTATAAATTTGTATAATAGGCTGGCCAAATTTATTCCACTATTACAGCCCAATGTTTCGCTAAACTTATTAACATCTTCAAAGGCGCGTTGTGTTTATTTTGTCCGTTACAGATTGGACTAGCCTATCATAAAAATTTATAAAACTTATCCAAACCGATCGGAAATAACAGCAACTATTGTATATTTTTTTTTTGATCAGGTGTGAAATATTCCTATCTGCCTTCCCTTATTGAATGCGAGGATACCGAATTCGATGATATATTAAACGACATTGACATTATTGCGTGTTCAAAAAATGTGACCAAGAAGGATAGCAACGCCATTAATAAAAACACGTTCAATTTTTTTTGTAAATCAATATCCAGTGCTATGGACGCCCGGTTGGACGTTGGCCTCGATATTAATGTGGAAATTCAGCTACGCCGTTTAACGATGGTTTCATCTTTGGATATGTATTCATCGCTACCACAAATATTGGCCAACGAATTTATTACCACTCCGCCAGAAACGACAGTTTGGCCGGATTATATAACCGATATTTGGTCTAGTCCAGAGTACAGTTGTGGTCTAAACACTTATAAAATGTTTAAAAATGTCTTTGACTGTATTTTCGCACACCTACACTTACAAGTGAGTATATTTACATATGTTTACTTAAGGGTTTGCAATTAAAGTTCAATTAAATTGCCATTCAGGACACTTGGGTACATTTGGAGCAAGTATTACAAATGTGGCTGACTTTGAATGGCGAACTGTCTGACAAACCTTATAATGCTGGTATCACACAGACAGATATACCCAAGATACCGTTTGGAGCACATGCCGTGCAAGGGCTTTTACTCGCACTGGCTTGGCATAACGATATTAAACTTCGTACTTGGTGCCTCGGATTTCAGTGCCTATTTTTGGCATGCAATTCTCAGGCTTTGGGCGATGATGACATCGATTCGACACGAATCAACGAAGTGATCGTGAACGATGAAAATTTTGAAAAAATGCTTCTTCGTTTCTTTTCCGGTTATGGCATGAGTTCATCGATCATCACGAATCGCTGTGTAGGCCTATTATCCTAGTTATATAACGTAATTTGAAATTAATGAGTTTATTTGTTTATAGGCTGGCCCGACAATTTGCAAACATTTACATGAACTACTGATGTGGTTGCACAAAAAAAGTGAGAGCAGTGGCTTGGCGGTAGCTTCAAACAGACGGAAATTAAAGGACACTTTATTGCATGTAATATTGCAGCTGGTGCAGCCGGGAGGTGCGATCGCTAATCAGCAAGGGCCAATTGATGCCCAAAGTCAATTGGTGCGAGATTTACTTCTGATGCCTACTGACAAGCCTGACTTGAATGTTGCGTTGAATATAATCGAAAGTGTTTGTAAGTTTTGACATACTTTTGTTGTTGTTGTTGTTGGATAGTCCTTCAAACGTTGTCGTCAAGCTATTTCGATGGAGTCGGAGCATAGGGAAAGGGGTGTTAGTTGAGGGGAACCTTCACATGTCAGACATCCGTAGGGAACGTCGGTTTTAAGGTCTGGATAAATAGGAATTTAACCTATTACAATATCCAGACCGCAATTTAGCTATAGTTATGCTGGTCCCTCTCAGGTGGTGATTGCACCCCTAAGACGGCATTCACAGGACGGGAGTTAGTAAAGGTGGTGACAGTCTCTCTGTGAATTCCGTGGAGCGTCCGCATCAAAGGCTTAGCGTGTGAGGTTTGGACCCAATTTTCACTCGCTGATACCGGCCCGTTAGATAGAGTTAATGTGAATTTTCAAAATCCGAAGTAATATTTGGGTTTTGAGCAAAGCAGTGAATGGTCAAGTAAAGTCCTTAGTAAAGTCAAGCAAGTATAATATGTCAAAAGTAATACTGAGATGATCAATAATTTTTACCATAGCTGTTGAACATACATGTCTTTCTATAAAATCCTGCCTGAAATGAAGATGGTGTGAGGAAAATTGCTCAGCCATTAACGGTTCAAATACAGGAACACTTATGTATAGGCCGGAAGTCACGAGGGGAACAATCATGTTTGCATTTTGCAATGGGACAAACGGAAGCAACTTCCCACGAGCCAGAAAAACAGGATTTAGTAACACAGTGATTAATTATCTGAGTCAAGGCCACCTAATTAAAGCGAACAGGTATTCCGTCCTTACCAACTGCGTTAGACTTAATTCGGTAAATACATTTATTAACATCCGATGCATGCCTATGCGGATTATGCCCAAAAAATCCCGAGGGGTATTTGGCTCGAAATAACCGGTCGAAACCAATTCTAATCGATAGATTACACAGAAATAAATTTACAGTTAATTTTAACCAAGTTTTTACTGATGCCTTCATGTGGAAAATGCCAAAAAACCTGATTTTTCACAGCGGCAAATTTTTTCGAAATTTTAACTTATACTCGCTATATCTCACATTTTATTATCGGTTGATTTAAATTTTTTACACAGTAAACTAGATACTATTCTAAAGAAACTGAGTTTAAGCACAGTTCTTAATACTTATGAGAAACAAAATGGCGGATTTTTAAACTTTTTTATAAAAATTATGGAGGTTGTTTTTTCAGATGCAAAAGTTGTGTTATAAAGTATGTAAGGAAGTTTTTGGGAAAGTTACAGGTTTAAACAGCAAGTAGTTCCAAAGTTATAACAATATTATGGTGACGCCTTAGAGCGGGCGCTCTCCCCTAAACGACAAATATATTCAGATAGCACTTATACAAGTAATTTTGAATGTAATATTAAATAAAATGTTGAAGTTCGTGAATTTATCAGGGTTATAGAACTTATAAAAGCTCTTTATTGTAAACTTAACAGACATACTTACATATATATATCTATGTAACTGCATATAGTGGTGGAAGAAACTTTCCCAAAAACTTCCTTACATATTCTTATATAATGCTGCATTAAAACTAAAACAAAAGTTTTAATTTTATAACACAAACCGCCCCCATAATTTTCATAAAAAAGTTTAAAAATACGCCACTTTTTCTTAAAAAGTATTAAGAACTGTTGTCAACCTCAATTTCTTAAGAATAGTATCTAGTTTATTGTGTAAAAATTTGAAATCTAACGATATTAAAATGTGTGAGATATAGCGAGTTTAAGTTAAAATTTTGCAAAAATTTGCGCTGTGAAAAATCAGGTTTTCTGGCATTTTCGACATGATGAAATCAGTAAAAACTTGGTTAAAATTAACGGTAAATGTATTTCTGCGTAAGCTATCGACTACTACAATTGGTTTCAACCGGTTACTTTGACCCAAATACTTTTATCATTTCTAGAGTACTTTTTGGGATTAATCCGCACGCCTAATATGGCGTTAAGTGGTGGTGCCGTGCACTTTTCGGTAGCATGTTGATGCTTCGCTGGGGTCAGGTGGTACGTGATGTACGGGAGTTGGTTGGTTGGTTTAAGTGAGTTTAACAACTCCAATTAGCACTTATACGTTCAGTTTAAAAACCACTGCACGCAATTTAACCTGAAAAGAAAACACAAAAAGAAACCAGCAGAAGTTGGTTATTTCTCTCAAATCCAGCATTTTCAGTTCAAAAGCTTAAGTAGTTGCGGTGGGTTAATATCACTTATGTCTGTTAAACCGCAGTAGCAGGGTTTGCCTAGAAGCCTTATTCTAGTCCTACATAGTGCTGGGCAATTACAGAGCAGATGTTCCACCGTTTCTTCTGCATCTTGTGAATTACAGCTACGACAAGAGGTGTTGTTTTCCAGTCTTAGTCTTGGATTCCCACGTCCCAGTGCCCTATGTAAACGGCAGTTAGTCGAGATAAATTCCTCCTGTTGAGTTTGATGAGAAATGCAGTAGGGCCCCAGACTCCTAAAGACCCTACATAGTTGTAGGCCTTTCCACCTGCTATTAGCCACCTTTTTCCAGTGCTAGATGCGGCTCTTGATATGGCTCAGAGGCACAATAACCTCCCGTGCCTCTGAGACCCCCAGAGCAGACCCGTTTCTGGCTAGCTCGTCAGCCATCGAATTGCGATAAACTCTGTTGTGCCCCGGCACCCAGATCAGTGCAACTACATGCCTATCAGCTTAAGTCATAACGTTCTCTCTGCACTGTTTAATTATGCTAAATGTAATGCTTTCAGAGCCAAGTACCTTGATCGCTGCTTGGCTATCCGAGCAATACTGGTCCCGGCTGGATTTAAGGCTTAAATTATTTTGCACGCCTCTTTGATGGCAAATACTTCTATTTGAAAAACACTGGCCTTATTCGGTAGTCGAATACACTTTTCGATTCGAAGGTCAGTTGAAAAAATTCCCGCCCTCCGTTTTTGAGTCCTCGTAAAAGTCGATACTTCAAAGAGTTCAGTAAAAATAGGTTCCTTCCTCAGTGGAAACATCGTGCCAAAGTTTTTCTTGAAGAGAAGCGAAGGACAGATTTTTCGCGAATGCTTGGGTCGTTGAAAGGGAACAAGATACGTCGCATGCCCGTACGTAGGTTCTTAACACAGTCTAAGTTCCTTCAACCTCGGTGCACTTTGTGAAGCACTTTCCTTAATAAATATATCAATCGGTGGCAAATGACATGACATCCGACTGCCCTAGTAATCGCAATGCAGGCTGACCTTTGTGCCATGCCTAAAATTGTGTGTATATAGCTTGTCTCTACGGCTTTCCACCGAACCAGCGAACCGAATGTAGTAATTTACATCCATAGCATAAGATTAGTCCCGACTTCTTACCCAGCACTTTCTTGCAAGAATACAGAACACCATACCGGTCTTCGACGGGTAACGTTGAGCCTACAGCTATCTTCCCAAGAACCCAATTCCCCTAGTGCTCTTTGAAGCATTCCTAGAAGAATGCTGTTTAGTACGTAAAGCCCCGCCTTGCGGAGTCCCCCGTTTTGGATGCCTGATAACTTCGCTGTTGCCTAGCTTAGCGTTTACAGCTTACAATCCTTGTACGAAACATGGTAGAAATCCAGCTTACCACGAAGTTCTCAATCCCCAGATTACTGAGTAACTGCTCCATTGCTTATAGGCTAACGTTATTGAACGCCCTTCTATGTCCAGGAAGACCGCCAACCCATACTGTTTATTTTCCAACGAAGTCTTTATCTTGTGTACAAGATGCAAAATATTAGTATTTTATTTTCATTGTAAGAGCCCGCGTATCGACCGCCAAGTGACCCACAGCACACTAGTCGAATAAGACCAATTCTTAAAAATTCTGGGTTCATCAAAAAGGTTTGGTGCATACTACTAGATAATGAATCCGTTAACGCAATATATAATTTCTCGCAGCCCTTTAGCTTATCGTTGATCTCAAAGTTATCTTTTTTCAATAAAATTTTAATTGTTCTCTTGATAATTACACTGGCCTATAGTCAAAAGATGTTAACAACAGCATTAATATTGCTGGCGTGCATTTAGGTCACTAGTTTCAAATATTCTAATCGTTTTTTAATATTAGGGAATGTTTGCAAATTTAGGAACAGTTTCGGTAGTTCTAATAGAACTGCCATTACTTTCCATCATCGTGGAAAAATTTTGTTTATGCAAATGAGTATGGAAACACTGAACAGGCACAACTTCTAGAAACAAATTAGTTTACTTATTAGTTAATTAATTAGTTTACTTATGTTTGTGCATACAATATAAAAATTGCAAAAATAGAAAATTACCAAAAATTTTGTTCAAATTTTTTTTTATATTTAAATAATTTGTTTATTATCTGCACGATTTTCATCATATTGTTATCATAAATCATTGACAGTTAGTCTCGCCTTCAATTCGATAATTGTTAAGTACCGATCGAGTAACATTTACCAAAGTTATATCGAAAAACTTAGGCGGATCTCAAGTTTTTTTCTAAAAAAATGACTTCAATTGTATAAATAACTTTTAAATAAAATAACCGGATTACAGAAAAGTGTGCCACGGAGTGACGGAGCTGAATGCTAAGCAATATCGTCCAATTGGAAAGTCCTCAAAAGGATTTCCCAGGATGGGTTAAAGGCTATTGCATTTACCTACAGTCACTTTTTCACATAATGGAATTAACTATAATATTTATGTATATCTAAACACTTATTGCATGCCCCCTACTTTCATATAACGGCAAATTTAGAAACTGCGAAAAATGTGCTTCTTCGGTGTCTAATGAAACCATTCCCCACCAATTTTCAAGACTGCATAAATGGACTTAAAATGGGCGTTTCTCACCCTAGTTATATTATGTTAATGTTTGTAAATACTTATATGCTTATCCAGCGATTCCCAATCTTTGACAATACACGTTTGACTGCATTCACCACGATCTTGAAAATTAACCAAATCGGCGGGACCAAGTTCATGGTCCTCTTAATATTATATAAGCATCCGAAAACACATCACTTTTTTGTATTTTTCACTTGGTTGCTGAAGTAATGAAGAATTGAAAATTCATAAGAGAAAATTATAGTGAGGTGCCAAATTTAATAACCCTTAATTTGATATATCGGCCACTGTGGTGTAGTGGTAAGCAGTGCGCGCTTTCACTCATCAGCACCTGGGTTCAAGCCCTGGTCAAAGCAACATCGCAAAAAATATAGAAAAAGGTTTTTTCTTAACAACGGTCGTCCCTCGGCAGGCAATGGCAAACCTCCGAGTGTATTTCAGCCATGAAAAAAAAGATTCTCATAACAATACAATCGCCGTTCGGAGTCGGCGTAAAACTGTAGGTCCCTCCGCTTTGTGTGACAACATCAAGGCGTACGCAACAAGTCGGAGGAGAAGCTGGGCCAAACACTAACATATGTGTAAGCGCCAATCTAAAAAAAAAAAAAAATTGTTATATCGTCCTGTTTATATTAATTAACGCATTCCATAGATATTACAAGCCAAAGTTTCATTTTCAAAATTCATACACCAATAACAATTGGCTTAGACCTAAGACATTATAATATTACTATTGCAATGCGGTCAAATGCCTTTTGTTTTCCCCATACAAAATCGACCCAGCCTATTATACATGCTTTGAATATACTCTCCAGCCATGGAATAACCCACGATTGGGCCTCCTGTATCATTGCTGAAAAGATCCCGCCTTGACCCGGAGATTTGTACGGAGAGAAGCTGGTAATTGCCCCGTCGTGATTATTTCGTTAACGACATTTATAGATGGTTCCGCTACGTTGCTAACTACCGCTGATACCTCATTTAAGTCACAGCCTGGAAAATTGAAGAAATTAGAAGAAGTTCTAATGTCTCCTCAGAACTATTGGTCCACCCTCCATTTCCTTTTTCATGAATAAGGGCTGCTGTGTTCCTTGAGTAGGAACCTCCCCATCTTGGCGGATTCTTTCGTAAACTCTATGTAAGAGCAGACATCTCCCCAGGATTCCTTTTTTTCTTTAGGAATTGCCTTTTTGTAATTAAGGCTATCAGGCTATCCCTATAAGGCTGTCAGTTGTCCGTATAATAGCTTAAGTTGAAAGCTTTACGAGACTTTCCTGAGTTTCGAGATCTCTTCCTACCATGGAGGGTATTGTTTTCGGCCGAAAAGGGGCAGGAGCCTTTAAAAGCCGACCCCATAGCCTTTACGAATTGGTTGCAAATGGTTTCTATATCCTCCAAGGTTGTTAAATTTCTAAAGTTATGTTTTCCCATCTTTTTTACCCATGGTCCTGTTGTTGTAGCTGCACACGCCGACTTATCAGAAGAAACTCTCGCATGTTAGGAGCTCGTTCTTTTGGGTGACTTGGGACGCCCGGTACTCACCCACCACCTCCGGGAACCGAATTTTTGGTCTTCGGAGTCCTTTGGGTGAGCATTCCTTTTGGCCTGATTCCTTTGTATCCTATCGGGGATAGATAGAATCCGCCGGTAGTGCTTTTCCTGAAGCGCTTTAGACGCGTTAATATTTGGTCGACCCTTGATGGCCCACAGTACTGGCTCCGTCGCCAGGTGTCAGTGTCTCCTGACGTGACAGAAGAAGCTCTTCCGTTGATAGGCTCGTTCTGCCAGGTCGAGGTTCGTCCGGGTTCGAAAAGGACCTACTTTCGTCGTATTTTTGGTTGTTGTTGTCCGATTCTTATTTGTGGTTGTGCATTGTTATCTGTTTCTTACGGTCGCCCGCTCAGTCACTTATACACTTTAAAACCGAGTACTGAGCAGTTATCGGAAAAATACTCGTATCAAAACCCGATACCAAGGCAAATTTTGCTTGAGAGTATTTTTCCCCTGTTATCAGCCCTGTTCTGCAATCCGATTCGAATTGGGATCGGATTTGTGTTGGTGTTCTGCATTCTGACAATCTGAAATTATTTTCGATTCCGCCTTGTTCTAAATTTCGATCAACGTCGAATTGGAATTCGGACATTTTTTATCGGAAATATTCCAATGAAGTAAAAGCTAGTGCAATAGAAAAAGAACAAAACAAAAAACAAAAATATAAATGTAAGTGATCAAAGGAACATTTTAAGCTTAAGCGAACAACGAAAAATGTAAGTAAACAAATTAAAATTGGCAATAGTATAACTATTAAAAAAATTAAAAACCAAATTAAACTGCGACAGCTTGAGTCTAAAATGTTAATTTTTTTGCGTAAATTTAATTAAATAGAGGTAATTCTATACGCAATTTTGTATTCAATTATTTGTGCTTCACTTTTCAATTAAATTTCTGTTGGTGCAAATCTTCATAGTAAAATTCAGGACTGTAGTGGCGAAAAGTGTTATGCAGGCAACACATGCATTAACTATTTTCACAACCTTTCATAGTTTGTACTGCAAGGTTATTAATAAACACTGAAAACGACTTTTGAGAACTCCAATTGTTCGTTCAACTATATTATCGAAGAATGTGTTTGATTAAGGGTCAATTTCACAGTGCGTAGTTAACTCAGAATCGACAGTTAACTAGAGATTTTCAGTACAAAATTCTGTAGTTAACTCCCGATTCTGAGTTAACTACGCATTGTGAAATTGGCCCTAAATGCGTGTTGTATAGACTGTGGCTATGGATTTCTATGCGGTGTCAACAGAAAAGGTTCCAGAGCATACCCGGCATCGAACAAGAACAATCCCCAGTTAAACATCGTTACCTACATTCAGGGTTTGAAAATGCTGTAATATTTTCATTTAGTTTGCTTTTGCTGTGCTTTGACTTCGGCATAAATGATATCGAAAGCAAAGCAACAGCAATTCAGAAAATATCAAATGCTTTGGCAGTCGTTTTGCTGTAAAATTTCGAAACCAACCAGACAGTTCAAAAGCTTTTATGAAAACACAACGACAGAGCCGATCTGCGCCCAATGCCTATAGTATAGGGGAGAGAACGCCCCCTTGAGGTGTGCCTCTGGTCACATACTTAGTAACGGGATCATCCAAGAATGTCTTGGAAACCGCCAAGCAGTTGTACGTCCTCCTTTTCAATCAGAACAGACATTGGCGGAATTCCAAAGGAAGACTTCTGAAAACTCAATTTCTATCCCTGCCAAGGTGGGTCTACTTAAGTTGACTTTCCTTCCTTTGGTGACAATGGTGGACTTCAATGGGTTTATTGATAATCCCCTTGCAGCTTATGAGTCTTCCGATAATCTGAGCGGAGCATGAAATCCGAAGCAAATAGTGTCCTCATGCAAGCCAACATAACCATATGTGTTAACCATATGAGTTAAATACGATGGCATTTAGCTTTTACAGGAGTTCATCAACAACCAGTGTCCATAGTAGAGGCGATAAGACTCCCCTTTGAGGACAGCCACGGGTGGCAGTTACTGCTTGCTTACTGTATCCTAGTTCCGCTATTATAGTTCTGGATTTCAACTTGCTTATGCTTATGCCTTCAACTGGGGCTTAAAATATCCTTCCTTATCATACCTGTCGATATTGCTTCGTAATTGCCCAGTAATGCACACAAAGCTATCTGTTTATACTGTAATGCCATTTAAATAACTTGGCTATGTATTGCAGTGATAGTAGATTTGCCTGCCTGATATACATATTGACTTTCACATTTGATGGGTTATACGTATTTTTTTTAACCGATGTGAGAAATACAAAACCGATTTGATAAAATGCGAGTCAATGCACTTCAGTTTTAAAGCATATTGAAATTTGATTTATGCATCCGTTTTGAGTCACTGCGAACTGAGTCGAAGCGCAGTATGTTTCGGTATAAACAAAATAATAGATGCTTGAATTGTTATCCCTAATGTAAAGTCTAGTAGTTTTTCCAATGTTTTTGCTAGAAATAGCTAAGGCAAATTGGTCTATCTGCCTTTGGGAGTTATGTCGCGTTTTTCCCCACTTTGGGTATGAATACGACTTTGACTTCACTCCATATTGATGGTATGTGAGCAAGTAACCTGACCAAGTGCCCAGATATTAAGTCCGTGCTCTGTTGTAGCAGGCATGGGTAAATGCCATATGGACCAGGAGATTTATATGCACTAAAGTTTGAAATGGCACACGATGTCTTTTCCATACTGACGATACACAATGGTGACAGTATTTGTTATAAGCCTTGGCCAATAGATCCCGGGAGGTGGGTTTCTAACAGAAACCTGCTGTTTACTTCTGGGGTGCCTGTGTAGCTACCACATGATCTTTTTAGGGTACATAGGACGTTCAGGTGATCCAGTTTGAGGGCCTTCTGAAGGCGCTGCTTTTCTGGTAGGGAAGAAATGCTTCCGCAGTGCACACGCCACTAGACCCTTTTAGGCCTTCTGAGCTCATAGTTTTAAGCGGTTGGAGGCTACTTGTTAGCGGTCTAATCGCCTAATGTCTTCGACCCATGGAAGAGTTTCCTAGCCTTTTTCCTAATTTTCCCAAGGTTATGGTTCCACCAAGTAACATGTCTTTGAGACTTTTATATTTATACTTTATATTTTTTACATGATGATTAAATTTTCAATTTAAAGCGTTTTTGGTGTACAACAACATATCGAATGGCGATAAACTACAATGTCAACGCTCATCTGATTGCAATAACGCGACCAGTACTTTTAGTAATCTGTTCGCGAATGTTCTTGGTTCAGAGAACTCGAAGCAAAATACCACACTCTCGGATAATTCTCTGATTATCAGCTTACTGAAACTTTCATCGTCTTTGGCGGAAACAGAGCTACCACGACAGCCAAGCGTAAGTTTATTTTGTAAATGTTATTTTGCATAAATCCAAATAAACTCCCTCTCAGGAGGTTACTATTCCAGAAGATGAGGAGCTTTCTAATGAAAGTCAAACAGATGAAACTAAGGCTGAGCAATTAAATATTGAAGGACATCGTTCAAAGGCTCCATGTATAGCTGATACTGGTAAGTTTGAGTGAAACCCATTACTTTATATCTTTTTTCTTAATCTTATAAAAATTGCAGTGATGCGACATTTTCCTACTATGAAGCGGTTATTGGGTTCACTATCGCACTGCTCGAGCTCATCTTTCACGATAATGGCTTCATCGTCGAACTTTTTGCTAGATGAGCCTCAAAGCACTGCAGACGCGGTTTTTAATTTACTCATTACGCTATACGATAAAGCATCGAATGCTCGGCTAATAGTTGCACCAATTTGCCAATATTTAGAAGCAAGTAGGTATAGTAGAAATTTGCCATTAAGAATGAAAAAAAACGTAGGGTTTTTCTTTAAGGCACTATTCAGCGCAATTCGTTGCCTCGGTTGCAGTTATCCGAGCCATTTTTGTGGTATATTTCGAAAGTGTTAGAGGCTTCTATAGCGGTGCATATTTTCACTCAGATGGGCGGCATAAAAATAATTTGCCAAAACTTAGTGCGACTAAATAAAATTCTAATAAATATGCAACCCGGATTGGTATGTACGCTTCTATTATTATTTGACTTATTTATTTGAACATTTCTTTAATTTTTTTTTTTGTTTTCAGATTTCTCTCATTATGCAGCACCTTACGAAGAATACAAAATTAAAACTACATTCACACGCATGTGTAAATGGAAACGGCAAAAAAACATCTTCGTCATCCAGTTCTGCGCATGGTCAGCGTCATTTCCAAGACGGACTCATTAATTTCGCGCCATTTTGCACCATATCCGCCGAACATGATACGGCACATTCAGCAGATATTTTAATTATGAATCCCGTCGCATCGCATAGACGACCGCGCACGCCTGCCTGGAGTTATATGTTTTATCCAAATGAATCGCATGTCGATTTGACAATTACACTGCCAACGGCCATACTGTTGAAGGAAGTACAATTGCAGCCACATGCGCCGACATTGGCTTCTTGCCCTTTCGCCGTCGCTTTGGAGATCTCACGAGACTACGGTTTGGGTCCGATTCCAGTTGGCCCACCGCTCACAACTACGGGCATGACATGCATCCGATTGAAGTTGGCTAAGCCGGAAATAGCCACAAGTGTTGTATTGCGTTTATACAGGTTTGTTATCGCAACAATGTTTTTGTTCATTTTATTTCATTACTAATAATTGAATATATTTTAATGCTGTAGACCGAAAGATAGCTCCAACATTGGTTTGTCGCAAATTGCAATCTTGGGTAATACAATATTTGCATTCAATTCTAACTCGTTGATTAGCAGCTCTAGTGGAACTAGCGGTGTTGGCGTCGGTGTTTCGGGTAGCGGTATTTTTAATTTTGAGCAAAGCAGTGATGAGGACACATTCGCGAAGACTAGTGTTGGTTGGATGCGTATACTGGCTCGCTGCTTCCAAGCGCCGGCCATTATTTACGATGAAAAATTGGCTGCAGATGTGATTGGTGCATCAGCGGTCTACCCAGGTTTCTTAGAAGCCTGTTGCTCCTTAATGAATATTATGCCAATGATACCAAATGCTGCGTTACAAAATTTGCATACTGTTTTGCTAAAATTGGGTGGATACAATCGTAATTTGTGCCTATCAATAATTCGCATTTTGCTCTGGGGTACAACCCCTCAAAGTAAGTAATCTTTGGTTGTACTAAAAAAAAATCAAATTTTTATGGGAGGAATTTCGCTTAAATTTTATAGCATACAAGCTTTCAAATGAGAGTATCTGCAATTTACTTTATGAGTTGGCAACAACTAGGGATGAGTATACGGTGGACAAGATTCAGGTTTTGCTTGAGTGGATCGTAAAGCTCCGTCATAATTTCAGTAATCGCACATTGCGCTGCAATAATCCCCAAAGTGGATTTGTCAAATGCGTGGCATCGATTTTATGGTCAATTTACACGGAAGGACATGTATCGAATTTGCAAGAATTAATAACCGACGACATCTTTGAAGCCTGTATGCACTGGATTGACACGCTTGAGAACGAAGAACCGCTAAAAGTGGCCTTCGACTCCTTGCTATGCTCACTGTGTTGTATCAAACCTGAACTTTTTAACCAACTGCTCACTAAAGTCAACGTCAAAGTACAACAAACTCATGAAATGGACGCCAGCAGTACCAGTTTGAATAGTGATGGCGCTTCACAAGTAACCGCTGGCGACGCAGGCATAAGCGTTGGTTTAACCGATGATAATAAAGGCCAAAGTGGAAGCGCATGGTTTGCTAGCGTTGCTGCAGCTAATTTAACCACACTTTTGCAGCGGCCGGCATACTTGACAACTTTAGCGATGTCGTGCCAATCTTCATCTGCAGTTTATCAATTAGTTGATTCTGGTCTGCCGAAATTGTTGGCATATTCTTTATATGAATACTGTAGTGCTTTGTTACCCGAGGTAAAACGATCTGCTCCTGCATCGGCCAACGTAATTAATTCAGCGCAGGTACGGAACTCTGCACCTACAACGACTGGAGTTATAACGTCAGTGCAATCTTCAGGCACCTCAAGTACATGTCTAACCGATGCTGACAAAGCTGAATGCATTGATGACAACACTGCATTGATGAATGATGCAATCCAACCACTACTCAGTTGTGCGCATGTCCCGAAAGTGTTGGATTTCTTTTCGGAATGTTGTGCTGAGGGATATATGAGAGACTGGCTGGGAACGCAGCAGGGCGCTATCTTTTGGAAGCCGTTGTTGGAGTTGCTGTGTAATTATCGCCCATTGGAGTATACCGGTGAGGAACCAATGCAACAGGCATTCATACGTATGGAACGGGCCACGATAAACTTTTTCACGCGCGTTAGTGCTTGCCATCCGAAAAATCAAGATACTTTGACGACATTGCTTATATCCGTAATACGTAAGCCTATGCAGGGATCGATGAGCGGCAAGGCGACTATTTCTGGTTTTACGAGACAAATCGTTTTACAATTGTTGCTGGAGAATGAAAGAATTCTGGTATCAGTACGCAGCAAACAGCCATTACAAAAACGCGATTCATCCGTGCTGTCATTGGCCGCGACAGCGAGTAATGCTTCCAATAGCAGTGTGTCAATGTCATTGGTAAACCATCATCCATCTAAACGTATTAATGCTCATCATTTGCTGTTTAGTGTGAGTGCGAACACAAAATGCCAAGAGATACTACAAAACTGTGTTTCAGGTAAGTGCAATTTATTTGTAATAAATATGTATGAATGTAAATAATGCAGATTTTTATGAGAAGCTCGCTAATACCAGTGGGCTTGGCGACGCCTGTACACTAATATGTTTTTACAGTCTTTCTTAACATACCTTAAGAGTCAAGTTTCTTTCTAAAGTTCAACCACCCTTGGTTAAGATTGGAATATTAGTGACAGTTTAGGTATCCGTGATTTTCATTATAACATGAAGCGACATAAGTTTCATTATAACTTGTCTAGGCAGCATTACGGAAATCTGCTTAAGTTAGGAATCTGGTCAAATTAACCTTTCGTTTTTGCGACTCGGCCAAGGGAATACCACTGCACTGCTAAGTGTGACGCAGTATCGAGGTGACGAGAGAAAAGTCTTGGCTCTTTCTTAGGATTGTAAGACGTACCGAGGTATTTTGAGGAGTAGAGGGCACAATATGTCTGAGGTGGCACTGCGCCTTTTTACCTCCCTTATATTAGCTCGTGATGTAACTCTGTAATATTGATGTGCCTAAAAGATGCAGCGATTTCTATTCTCAAGTTACATACCTGATCGCAGTACGAATGGAAATTGGAGCGAGGTTTTAGTTTTTTAAACTATAATTTTTAAATTGTATATCTATATAGAGAAGGAGGGAGATTCTTGAAAAGGGTTGCGTTAGGTCGAGGCCACGCAGTGAGCGGCAAAGCGGCAAGTGGCTGAGCGGCGCCGTACAAAAATGCCGCTCAGCCGCTCAGAAATACCGCTCAGAGCATGGCCACTTCAATAGTATTTCCTATGTTTTAGTTAAGCCGCTCAGCCGCTCGCCGCTTTGCCGCTCATTGCGTGGCCTCGGCCATAGGCCGCAGCTAACAGTAAAGTCGACTACATCGAAATGCTTTTTACATACATAATTCCGCTGAATTTAAAATTGATGTGGGCATTGCATATAAAGGAAATTTATATCCTTTTGCCCTTTTGCCAATTGCGCACGATGTTGCCTTTTCAATTAAACTGAATTGTAACTACATATATGGTAACGGTTGGAAATGCGGTTCTATTTATACAAAACTGGTGTTACTTTTACTTAATTTTTGCCCAGTCTTTCGTGTGTCCTTATATTTTTTATTGTAGATATCCATGCATTCTTGGCTGTCGGGTTATCTGGTCATGTGGAGCCGCTACAACAACAACAACAACGGTCCAAATATCACAATAAATACTGAACGTGTGACAGGCGCCACACACTGTGATAAATTAACGAGTAGACTGCCCAGCGATAATTTTCTTCGTTATGTGGTTAGTTATTTTTGCTGAGCGCTGTGTTGCCTAATCAATGCAATTGTGTCTAGTAGTGTTGTCACCGCTACACACAACCACAGTACAATTCATCAAATTAATCCAACTTTTTTAGTCTGACTTTATACACGACAAACTTACCAAAAAAAAAGCTGCTAAGTTACGAAGCACTCGCATGTGGCAACCGTGCTTAGCAGTACCGCTACAACAACAATAGAAGTTTGCTATTCTCGGCAAAATAGTGAGCGCCGTTGGTTTGTTTGGGCCATGGTAGTCAATGAGAAATTTCTTAAAACTCATATGTAAATGTATGTACACAGAATTGGGTATTATGCGAATTAATTGTTATTTAGATAATTATTCAAATAAAGTGTTATCTGTAATGTACTTATTCCCAAATAACTTATTGACGAATGAATTGTTCGTGAATAAAATGCTTATCAATATATTGGCCCCTATTATGAGTTGCATTCGATCTTCGACTGTGGTCGAAAGTGCTGATCGAACGAATTTTCATTTGGTATTATGGCGCTTATTCGATGCGCTATTGTGAATTTCGCTCGTCTAGGTTGTTCACAATAGTATATTTTTCACCGCTGAGAAGCTTTGTTTAGAGATCGAGCAAACTAAATAGTGTGCTTATACATATGTTCATATGTAAATTTGTGCAAATTAAAATGATATAAAAAAGAAAGCGAGTTTATAAAAGCGTGGTAAAAAAAAATTAATTAGCACAACGGAGTTCTGGTTGAACGATTCGTCAGAGGATGAGGGCTTAAAAAACTGGCCAGGAGCAGAAAACGTGAGAGTTTAAGTGCAGTCCTTCGAATATATTTTGACATACAATATATTTAAGAAATTTTGTGATCCAAATCTATTTAAAATATATTAAAACTGTAAACTGCTCCACGATTTTGTTTTCAGAGATCGTGCCAACGGAGTATAGGGATTTTCTTTCATATGTGAAACCAGACTTTCGAGCTTGTGTTTACTATTCACGACGTTAGAACTGCTTGAAATTAATACAAATCGTTTAAAATTAGTATCCAGCCGCCAAAAAGTAAGAAAAGAAATACAAAATCGTACATTTTTAAAATTTTCTAGCATTTCGCTACACCAACGAAAGCAAAATTCTGTTCGACAGAAAATTCGATACTCAACGAAAATTTCGACACGCTTGCATAGCTCATAATACGAATTTCACTTTGGATCTTCGATGTTCGATAGCCAGCGAATATCGAGAATCGAATGCAACTCATAATAGGGGCCATTATTCGTGATTTTATTCGTTATTTGGAATAATTAAGTAAACTCGATTTTTAACATACAGAGCCACGAGTTGCTTTTATTTCTATTGTTACTGATTCCCGGTTAGTTGTTATCGTTGGTGTAGCTGCTTACTTGCCTGCCTAGATTGGCTTGTCTCCTAGTCGTTGTCGTCAAGCTTTACCAACGGGCAGTGCACTATGGAGAAAAATTGATGTTTTTGGCATAAAGTCTAAATATTAAGATCTTCGACTTACACCAACTTCGTTATTTTTTATAATACCGGTTTGTGCAGGTACTATGTGCAAGTACTATGGACTCCTGAGGTGACCTACCAAATTTTGTTCGGTTCGAAGCTCTATATCAGTCATGCCAACGTCGGCAGAACTCCATAAGCAAGTGCCCTGCGCTGGGCATGACTGCTCTATATTATATCGTCGCTACCATGTCAAACTATCGAACTGGAAATGGGTATTTTCCAGGAGACCAAATAAACTGTTGTAAAAAATGTTGTTCTCATTAGAAAAAAGTGTGGGATTCGACAGTTTGTTAAAGCTAGTATCCTCTGCTCCTAAGGAGACTTGAAATTTGACGACTCGCCAACTTGTATATCATTCTTAACGCATGCGCAAGGTATTGACATGGTAGCGACGATATAGCCGCCATATGACTGGTCTGGCGGACTTACACCATCTTCGCTGTTTTTCATGCTATACTTGAAAGTTGTTTCGTAAACTTTGGGCTTCTGAAAAGCGTTATGTATTTAGTGAAACATATGAATTGGATTTCAACTCCAAAGTTTTTAAGTTTCACTCTGTTAAAAGTTGTATTTTTCGCCCCGCGCAGCATGAATGGCAAATACGCATTTCTCTAAAAAATGCGATTTTTTCAAAAAGGGGCAAAATAGGGCAAGAAAGATTAGTTATACATTAATCTACACACTTTTGTTAATTAATTGTCATTTGCAACTCTTTGCACTAGCTGTCCAATTAAAAGTTATTGTCTGCGAAAAACGACTACAATTGTTATGTTCAATGTAATACTATACATAAAAAAACATTGCACAATCGGACAATAAAACGCAATAATAACTAAAGGGCCATACAAAATCATAATTTTACATATCTGGACTAATGTTTTCCATAATAAGATTTTTAAATGTTTAAACATTTCAAACCACAAGAACTTAAAGTTAAGTAATATTTCCTCTAAATTCTTCTAAGACAATGTGAATTTCAATCAGCTGACTTTGAAAGCACTCTAATGAAAAAATATTGCCATCAGGATTTAATTGGAATACGTTTTTTTTTTTACTAATTGAGATATTCAGATGGGTCGGGTGCTCGTGTTCCTTAAACTGCAGTTGCAGTGAACACCTTTTCAACCCAGTAATGAGAAAACGTAAATTATAATGAGAAAACGTAAATTGTATTGAGAAAACCTAACTTAAGGTTCAGTTAGTCGACACTTAATTTACGTAACTTAACCTAATATATTATTCTTCTTCTTTATTGGCGCTGTAACCGCCTAAGCGATTTTGGCCGGGTCCAAAACAGCACGCCAGACGTTTCTCTTCTGTGCCAACTGACGCCAATTGGAAATGTCAAGTGAAGCCACGTTCTTCTCCACCTGGTCTTTCCAACGCAAAGGAGGCCATCCACTTCTTCTGTTACCAGCATCGCGGCCCGCGTTAAATACTTACAGAGCAGAAGCGTTTCTGTCCATTCGAACGACATGGCCAAGCCAGCGGACCCGCTGAATTTGAATTCGCTGCACTATGTCTATATCGTTGTAAAGCTCATACAGCACACCGTTAAATCGTGTGCGGTATTCGCCATCGCCTACGCGTAAAGGCCTGTAAATGGTTCGCAGAATCTTTTTCTCGGAAACTCCTTTGTACGACGAGAGAGGATTTTACTTCTCAATTGCCTACTCAGTCCAAAGTAGCACTTGTTGGCAAGAGCGATTCTCCGTTGGATCTCAAGGCTGACATTATTATTGGTGTTAATGCTGGTTCCCAAATAAACGAAGTTGTCTACTTTTTCAAACTTGTAACTGTCAACAGCGACGTGGGTGCCTAGACGCGTGTGCTGTGACTGTGTGTGTGATCACAGGAGATACTTTGTTTTGTCCTCATTTATCATCAGACCCATTCGCTTTGCTTCTCTGTTTTTACCGATAATGCCGATGTCATCGGCATACGCTTGTTGAGTAATCACTAACGATTTCTTACGTAAGTTGAGTCATGTCTAGACTAACTAGACTATTAGTATTGACATAATGTTAATTATATTGGGAATACGTAAAGTAATCAGGGACGGTAATCATTATAAGTAAAATAATTTAAATCGGTATTTAATCACTATTTTATGATTTTTACTTTTTCGCTCAACGGAAATAATTATTATTTGATTTCTATTTTTTTCTATCACAAATAATGATTAT